ATTTGATGATAAAATAAAAGGCAAAAAATGGAGGCTAGGAGGAAGAGATGTGTTGTAACTTGCATTTGTAACAAAAGCATCTGTGCATTTCTCCTAAAATTCTGCTGCATCTAGCTGACTTTCGTTTCTATATATAAAGTGTTAAAATATTCAAGAATGTAGTCAGGTAGGTAATACTGCAGAAATATTTACATATGCATAGTGATGATAAGTACTAACCCTCACAAGGTGACAGAACTGTTCATATCAGTACAGTAGTATCAGTAAAGTACCAGCAAAACAATTTATGATCCTTTGATATTGTGAGGACCTTTTCTAAAATCATTCTGAACATGGATTCACTATATTTGTGAGGACATTTTTCAAAATTTGGCCCTCAAAAACATACCCCCACACAAATGCTCTTTTGTAGGCGGTGTCCTTCATAACTGAGAAAAACAGACACTAATTAATGTTTGTTTTGGAAAAGCTGGATCTACGAGAAACTCAAATAATTATTACATACATTTACACTGAGTCTATAAAGAATGGGCCAAGCTGTGGTGAGTGTCAGTGAAATTGTAGATGGTGAGTTTGAGGGAGTAAGAATAAGCATGACTGGAGAAAACACAACATCAGCACATACAGCATATCGCTGATGCTGCCGAGTAAATCAACAGACCTAGTGCAGCCTCCAGAGGAAATATGAGGGAGGGATATTCCGGTCTGTAGGTTCCTTCTGAATCTTTTCTTAGCAATGATGTGGGTATAAATTACATGAGAAAGCGAAACAGGAAATGATTGCTCAGTTGCATGTGAGGAAACTCCAGTTTTGTGTGCTGGGTCTCTGAACCACAATGAATTTTGTGAATGGCAGAGAAAAGAGAAAGAGAGAATGAGACAGCAACAGCGAGAGAATTAGAAACTGGATCTGAGGGACTGTCCTAACAGTTTTGTGTCAATCTAACATGACGTCAATGGTGAGGACGTGCAGATAATTATATGAGATAAGAAACAATACACACAAGATGCTATTCCCCGAGCCACTGACATGTATGATGGGAGCCTCATTCCCACGCGGATTCATACACACACAGCAAAATGTTTGCCAACAACATCACACGGAGCTCTGAAGAAAGTCACACCTAAGACTAATTAATAGTTTAATACATTTTTTATAGCATCAATCAAATAAACAGCACCAAACATCACGGTTAATGCCTTTGAGAAACATCTTGCAATACATGAAGTCTTATGAGGCTAAGCAAGCATTTTCTTTCACAGATGGACTTGATAGAATAAATAAACTTCACAGAGAGCGCTGAATCGAGTAGAAATTAAGCATTAAGCAGTGTTGTTCAAAGGTGAATGCCATTTAGTTTGAGGAGTAGCAATGCCACCTGCTGCAGCTGGGCTCAGCGCCAAGTGGAAATGACTCACTGTCCATGCTACTGATGATTAACCGGTGGACATTAACACATTAAACACACTGAAGGAGGCGCGCACACGCACATACAGGCCATTAACATTAAACACTCCACTACGTTTACAGACATCCACGCAATTGTTTTTTTTCCCTGTCTATCAGTCCGATGACTCATGGTGACATTCATAATCTCTTTCCTGTGACATCAGCAACCCTCGGGGATCTATTGATTAAAATTCAGAGCTCCTGAAAAACAAAAACACGATGCAGAAGGTCTCATGCGTCCTCGGAAGAGAGGTCTGGTTAATACCAAAGGGATGGATGGAGCACTGGCTCTCAACTGCTGGACAAATTTATCTGTCAGCTGGTAGAAGCTACAGTAGCTAAAGGGAAAGTTCACTCGAAAATGAAAATATTGTCACCATTTACTCATGTCAATCCAAACCTGCCTTAATTTCTTTCTGCAGAACACAAAAGATATTTTGAAGAATGATGTAACTAAGCAGTTTTGGTGCACATTGACTTCCAATGCATAGAAGGGGGGGGACGACGACTATGACATTTCCATAGAAAAAAATAGTCATACAGGTTTGGAAGTACTTGAGAGTGAGCATATTATGACAGACCTGTCATTTTTGGGGGAAATTGATTCTATTAAATCAGGCCGATGGCTCAATGACATGACATTCATTTTTTGGCCAGAGTATTAATTTATTAAAAAATACATTAAAATGCAAGTAATAAATAAATGACACCTAAAAAGAAGAATGAAATTCTTGTAAAGAAAACAAGTAGTTTGGCATGAAGTCTGGAAAAGAAACACACACACACACATGCAAAACAGGAAATGATATCACAGCAAGAACCCCTGTAGACCATCATAACTGTGTCAAAGTTAATAAGTCTCTTAAATGATCAGAAAATTTGACATTATGACAATATTATTTCAGGTTGTAAAGACAGTATCATGTGGTGCAACTCCACAAAAACTTAATGATATTTATGAATTAATAATTCAACATTTAAATACTTTTGCAAATATTACATACTTTTACAAATTTTTATTAAATTTCATTAAATTGTACAAAATTTTGGTACTGTGTAACTGGTACTGGGTTGCCACTTGTCCAATTGAAATCTGAATGCTGAAGCAAAATCAGTTTAGAACTATTACACACTTTAAGACTCATCATGATTGTTAGAACTTTATACTAACAGTGCTGAAAAGGTCAGATCAGACAACAAATATCTTCTAAGGTAGCTTATCATGCAGGAATAATATTGGCATATGACAAATATGGCTGTGGCCATGTTGTAATTAGAATTTTCAAATGTGTTTAATACCACAGAAATACAACACGCCCATGGGAGAAATATTTGTAAAGATATTTGAAATATGCAACATAGCGTCCCGTTCAATTTGACAGCCTTACTCTAGCACATTATTTGTTTGAAGGAATAAGATCCTTTGTTTTCACGGTTCTGTTTTGCTAACCTGAAGAATACAAACAGCAACAAACTCGAGCAGGCAGACACAGGAGCATGTAAACTAACCAACAGGATGACGTACCAATGACAAAATGCAGTTTCAATGGCCCCTGTTATTCTATTTCTCTTGAAAATAGATAACTATTCTTTTTCAGCAAGGGGGTATGTAAAAAGTAAGAGTACTGGAAATGAAAGCAATTGGATGTAGTTTTGTGACTTTGGACATTTGGCAGTATTTCGTACCTGCTGTCCTGCTCACTAAACTTTCATCCCAGAACAGATGTTTGAAGGGAGTGTGGGAAAGCAACAGAAGCCATTTGCCCTATTAGAAGTCAGTGTATTATCAGAATGATTCTGAAAGTTATATTTCAAGTCAGAAAACTTACAACATACAGTTGCTTAAAATAACTGGTGCTCCATATGCTCTTCTGAAAGTCAAATCTCTCATGAACCAGTGGCACTGGAGCTCTCGGTACCCCCTCTCTCTGCGTGTGTAATCGGTTGGCTATCATTAGTAGAAGCTGCCAACTGACCTACCTGGTTCACGGTGACCTTGGAGCTTTTTTTGTTTTGTTTTCCGGTGCACACTTGCAACATGCCAGTTTCTCCAGCTTATCGCTCACTGCTTTCCACAGAGCAACAGTTGACTCTGTAGCCTAAGTTGACCCTAAACTAGACATGATGAAACCCATTCTGTAGATAAGATTCAACATTTGTTCTTGCTTCCGCTGAAGCACAAGTTACTCTTTGGATCGTTCTCAAATCATGCTGGAGAACATGATCATCAGGTTTTGCACTTGTGGAGTTTATGAAAACTAAACAAAAAAATTAGTATTCAATTAGGAAAATGTAAAATACAAGCATTTCCATAGAGTTTTGGACCTGAGTGTATGCGTGGAAGGATAAATCCGTCATAGTTCAGCATCTGTTCAGCAGATGATACAGCAGGGTCACATTGTGTCACTAGGGTTGTTGAAAGAGGGCAAATGACACCTGGCTCATGACCTCTGCCTCCTGCTTTTGCCATCCATCCATCCTGTCCTGTCATACTGCGGTCAGTCTAGACCAGTGGTTCCCAACCCTGGTCCTTGAGGCACCCCAACACTGCACATTTTGCATGTCTCCTTTCTCTGACACTCAGTTTCAGGTCTTGGAGCAGTGGTGCCCAAACTCAGTCCTGGAGGGCCAGTGTCCTGCAGAGTTTAGTCAGCGTCATACTGACACATATCATGCATTCATTTAACTTATTAAAGGAATAGTTCACCCAAAAATGAAAATATATTCCCTTAGGCAATCCAAGATATAGATGAACAGATTTGGAGAAACGTAATATTACATCACTTGCTCACCAATACCTCTTTTGAAGTGAATGGGTGCCATCAGAATGAGAGTTCAAAAAAAAAAAAAAAAAAAGGACATTCCCCATTTTTGCCCTCAAATCTGCTGCTTCTACTAAAGAGAGAATAACAAGCTCACAAGTGTGAAATACTGTTTGCAATGGTGATGACTGTATACTGAGAGCGGGGTAATGTGCCAGGACCAGTTCACCATGACCTATAATATCAATGTGTGCTGCCAAGAGTAAAGGAGCATGAAGGCCTTAAAATAGATAAAGTCTCTATCAATAATAGTATTACTGAAATAATTGAAATGTACATGCTGTAGCTAGATTCCATCTATGTGCGAAGAACAATTGCACAGAGTCACTAGAGCTTTAGACCTGTGACTTCGCATGATGTTTCCACTCATTCATGTTATGGATGAATAATTAAAAATATGCATTTTAAGAGATCACAGGAGCATATTTCCATATGCCAAGCATCAATGTAATATCTAATTAATATAATAAACTGTATGTCTCTTATAATAATTTTTAATGTACAAATTCACAACAGAAACTTGAAAGTTGAGAGATGTTTTATATCTAGAAGCTCCAAATTTTAAATTCCCTGATCTCTCTAGGTCTTCCATGACTGTGAGAAACTATGAAACTGAACTATAAAATCCACTGCAAGCCTTTTATATGAATCAGCGAGAAAAGACTTGACAATAAAAGCTTGTTTTGTTTTATTCCTTTCACTTTTTTCATCTTTATTGAATTTGTGTGGCATTTTAAACATATTTACAATTATTGTGTTTTTTTGTTCAGTTCAGTAAAAATACAAATACAGAACACAGCTTTGTTAAAACTCACCCAGCAACAACAGGGAAGAGTGTTGACCTGGGCTTCACTCACCATTAGTCAGTCATATTACAGGGAGAAAAGAAAAGAAGAGAAATGACAGGTACAGGAGCAGCCGGACACCGCTGCTGCCATCTAGAGGGGAGGAGAGGACACATCTCCCTCAGACTGGGATGAGAGGTTTAGAAACTGAGGAACTGAAAGGACAGGATATAAAGAGAAAGACCATTAAGGGGAGCTGATTGATGACACCCAGCATCCCATCAATGATCCTCGAGTCTTTTTGACAGACTGATTCTCACAGTTTCTTCATTACCCAAGATGAGAAAATAATTAGCTTTTCCTTCTCTGGTCAACTACATGAAGTTTTCTGAGGGTGAGCCATTTTACACGAGTCTGAGAGCATAAGGCTGAGCACATCTTCCAAAGAGACTGAATCAATATTCATTAAAGGTCAATTAAACCAAAACATGAATAAATAAAATCAAACAAAATACTTCAATGTTGGCTGCAGGTTGTGTTTAATCATCTGATATCAGAAATCTGTTTCTCTGTCTACCATCACCGTGTTTCAGAAAACATGTCCAGGGACATCCAGAGTGTTTACAGCCCAGGACTGAATAAGTCATGTTAAAACTCACATGAAATATTCAGAGGTATGCATCTGACTAATGAAAGCATCCAGAAACTGGAATGACAAAAAAAGTCTTTGACCTCAGTTCAGGAGTATTCCCAAGTCTAAAACATCATACACATCACAGGTTTAGTTGTTATGCAATTGTATTCAAAATCCTTGCACTGTTTTTTTGTGTTTATTTACTTTGGGTGTCTTGTAAAGGGCACACAGTGTATTTTATGAACTCTAAACCCCATATATATAAATCTCTACCTTGTTGGCTACGATTAGTGGTAAATCTTGGCTGTTGAAAGAATCTGGTCTGGTCTAACAGAGCGGCACAATCGACAAATGAAAACAAATGGTGATGGCCATGAGCATTAGCATCTAAAGCACTGCGACTCCTACCCACAAGTTACAGTTACTTCAAGTGTTGATTCATTGTGTTGCAAAATCAACCATCAGCCCATCCGTGTTTCAGAATGCAGTATGAATGACATTCTGGGCATTCCCAATGGATGAAAAAAAAAAAAAAAAAAGATGGGAATGGAACAACGCAGGTTTCTGGAATGACGGTGGTGACTGTGTCACAGGCAGCAACTGTTCGATTAGCAGCATGTGTCCGTTTTTACCCGCTAACCTTAACAAAGACATCGTAGATACTGTAGATCTAGAGAAATTATGGAGAAAAGAACATTCCTGGGGGCCTCTGGCCTAAATTCAGCCTCAGCTGGAGAAAGATTTCACAGGAGGTCACATCCAACATCTGGCATCTCCAGGAGCCCAGCTCAGAAAGAGAAAGACTCTGAAGGCGGTCTGGTCAGAGAACCATTAATCCATCATTTTGAAGTGGTTTAGCACTGAGCCGATGATATGAAATGCCGCCAAATTGGAGAGAGAGGGGAAAAAAAAGAACGAATGAACTTGTTAAAATCCTTCCCCAAGTGAGAAACACACCTCCATTTCAGAAGGTCTTTTAGTCCGCTAATGCGTGTACAGTGTGTACGGACATGTCAGGCCAGCGGCCACAAGAGAGAGACACACGATCAATCCAGCAGTCTGTCCTTCAGAGAATATATGAGAGAGACATAGATAAAGAGAGTTCGATCTGTTCTGGTCCCATCCGTTCACTGCAGTCCCTTGATTCACAGACCGGGACGAGACAGTGGTTGGTGGGTACAGTTCTCTCCTCTCCTTTGCACTGGCAGCTGCTGTCTTTCACAAGGAGGGAGGCGTATAGAAAAGGGGCAAGCGAGGGGGAGGACGCCCCCCCGGTGAGTCCGCTTTACCGCTGGGTCTCGCTGCCAGGCAGGGTGATGTTGCCCAGGTGCAGGACGGGCAGAGGGTGGGCCTCCGTGTTGAACACCCAGTTCTCAAGAGGCAGCAGCTCATCGCTGGAGAAAAGTAGATAGAGATACCTACAAAAACACACACAAGGTTCATACATTTAAGCTGATACTGATACCAAACTGGGTCATGGATCTGATGTATCTAATTCAAACACATCTGGTGATGGGAAACTGCAGTGTTTCAATGACACCAGCAGGCGGCAGTAATGGCTGGCTGTCTTTCCACTCCAATTTACTTTGCAAATCCCACTTTGTTTAGCTGAGAGTCACTGTTTTTCACAGGTGTAGCCATATGTTGCATAGTTATGTTAACCATTACAGTAATAACTGAGCATTATTACATTGTTTTATATACAATAATAATGTGTATTAGCATAATGAACTGAAACGGTTTGTGTTACTATAGCAACAGAGCTTCAGCACATTGTATTTTAATAAATGAAATGATTTTTACTTGAGCGTTTCAGCCAGGAAGAAGCTTTGCTGGACGTCATCGTAGGTGGGGTTGGAGGAGTAGACATCTTTAACACCAGAGAATCCTCCGCTTACTCGGCAATATTTATCTATAGCCTGCAGAAAATACGGAGAAAGTCTGGAGTCAGTAAGAGCTTTCGTTCTTTTTTTTTTTTTTTTTGGGAAAGAAATGAATACTTATTCAGCAAGGATGCATAAAATAAATGAAGCAGCACAACTGTTTTCAGCATTGATAATAATTAGAAATGCTTCTTGAGCACCAAATCAGCATTTTAGAAGGATTTCTGAAGGATCATGTGACACTGAAGACTGGAGTAATGATGCTGAAAATTCAGCTTTACCACCACAGGAATAAATTACATTTTAAAATATATTCAAAGAGAAAACAGTTTAATAATATTTCACAATATTACTGTTTTTACTGTATTATGCTACTGTATATTTTTCAAAAACATAAAAAAAACATACCAACGCCCAAACTTTTGAACGGTAGTGTATATATAATATTACATATAATAATAATAATAATAATAACATATTTGTCCCCATGACAACTACATTGTTTATTTTTTGGATAATGTTTATATTTTCCTAAATTCTGTTTGACTTTTTCAACTGAATTGACTATTTCTTGCAAATTTGTGAAAAATAGTGAAGTTCCATTTGGTAAAACATGTTTTAGTTCTTAATATATTCATTATTGCGGCTTAATGTGAGAAATATCTTCACAAACGTGTTGTTCTGGAGAAAAGAAGAAAATCCCTGCACCTTAGATGAACGTTTGATGGTTGTTAAAAGATGCTTGAGTCATGACCATGTCCTTGATTTGAATTATGCGCATATCTTACATCAGTGAGGGCCAGACTATTGTTCTTAAATTCGATTAAACCATATAATATCTTGCCGTTTCTAATAAAGTTACCATCCAACTGGTGAGTAACTCAGGCTAGCTCAGTTCCAGATGTACCATTTCCTGTGCTTTAGCCCAGAAAGATCATCTATGCAGTATGTGCTATATCAAGTGAAACCCTGTCCTAATCACCACTTTATGACTGCAAATCAAACCAATGCATGACTGTGTACTCGCAGTAATGATGACAAGCTAAAAATAGAATATATATGAAGCCGCTCTATTTTTCTGGCCCTGTTCTCCAAGAACCAATAATGCTCCATTAGTGCTGTTCCAGCCTCTGCAGGCAGGAGTGATGCAAGCCATCTGTGCCAGGAAAACATGGCATGATGTGCTCACCTGCCTGGAGCAGAACTGCCTGAAACAGCTGCTACAATGAGGACTCACCTCACACGGTTATAACGCAACAGCAGCTGGCCTGATCCAGCCTCCAATTAACCCATTCAACAGAGATTCACTCAAGACTTGCAGCTTCATTTCCTCTACTTTCCATTTAGATTGCCTTTGCATCATCTAATATCTTTAAAAAGGCTAACTTAACACTGTTAAGTATAATCTTTAGCAAATCTCAAAATTAATTTCCATTTTTTCCATACTATACCTTCTAATGTTATGAAGCCTAAATGTACTTGTAGCATTTAAAACAATGGATTTTAGTTTTTTAGGATTTTATTTATTTATTTTTATATAAATCAGAGATGCCCAAACTTCAAAAATCTAATTTAATTGAGGGCTGTGAGCCAAAATTTTATTTTGCAATCTATCAAACTATATTATAAGAAAATATATAAAATAAAAAATAATAAACAAATGTAAACAATTTAAAAAAATTACTTTTAATCTAATTGATGAATTGACGATATGCCTAAAATTTTTCCCTTTCCATGGCATGTTGGGCCAAATCAAAGCTTATCACAAGACAAAGTTTGTCCAAAGGTCTTGGTTTGGCCATCTATATCAGCCATTTACTGGTTATCAGCTAATTCTGCCTGAATGTTAATATCATTCCTAGACATAATTACATCATTTCCACCATAAAACAACATATCTGTGAACGCTATAGCAGTTCAAATAACCAAACTGTCATGAAGTCGAAAAATACCAACCAAAGCCATTCATTTAACCTCCAACTGACCATCTTACTTCACATGAGATATGGTGAGAACTGGTGAGAAAATCTTAACCGATCCTGGAGATAACAGTGGACGCCAAACAGATAAACACAATACCGTTTATCTACACGAAGAACAGTGATAGGAACGCAAAGAGAAGAGACGGTGAGACTCTGAGATCCTGGAAAGAAATAGATGCACAGAGAGCTGGAGACAGAAAATGATAAAATTAGAAGAAAAAAAGAGCCGAAGGAATTTCGGTGACTGGGGAAAAAAGTGAGCTCTATTCTGCTCTCTTTCTCCTTTTACAGAAAAGGGGAGAGTGAAAATGAGGGAGGGAAGGAAAGAAAGAGCCCAGGCACCCAGCGGCTCATCAAAAGAAGCCCAATTGCAGTGAAACAGTACTGTACCGGCAGAACAATGACACCCAATCAGAGAGAAACCAATGACACTTCATTCTCAAGAGCACTTTGAAACTGTTCTAAAAACACAAAGACAAACACATTCCCTAAAAAACACAGCCCAGGTCTCGCCGGAATAAGAGTGTCATGAAAATAGAGGGAAGGATAAATCTAAAAAACAGTGATAAACAGATACGGTTGGAGAGGTACATGACTACTACGCGCAGCAAAAAGATGCCACAGATAGAGCGACTGGGACTACAGATGGATATCAAAGTGATGAGATATGGGTTTAGATACTAAGAACACCCTGTGCCGTACACACCGTCTGACCTTATTCTGTCTCTGATATCCGGCTGAACTCTGATGCCTGGAGATACCAGTCCTGGGAGAGTGAGTCAAACTCCTGTTTGTGCTGCTTGTGCCCTAGCTTTGTGCTGGTGATTTTTGCACAGGCACCACTTAAAAAAAGACTCTTCTCTTACACTGATATTGAAGTTCTGGCTGAAACAAAATAAAGTGATCATTTTTGTCATGCTATGGCTGATAGCCGATAAATGGCAGATTTGAAAAATCTGATTATTATGTCTGAAATAAATAAAAACAAAACAATCCAAAACCTCAACAGTTTTTGCCAACATTGAAACACTTGATGTTTATTGAATACAGGCATCCCAACTTTGTAAATGCAGAGTATGGAATATGGATAACTATTTATTTTGAGAGTTGACATGAGAATATAGATGGGACCTTTATTATAGGAAAGTGCACTTAAAAAGGGCTTTTAAAGGTTTAAATCATTGCTGTTATCCAGTGCTATCGCTATTATATGATGGCAAAAGTAATCTAAAATCTTGGAAAGCAGTTTCTACAATAACACATCCAATATTTAGTTGTAGGCACTCCTTTCTGAGGATATTCGATAAATTTGATATTCATCCAATATTCACTATCCAGTAAAAATGGATTTTCCAATTAACCACAATCTCCATTGGAATCTCTACAGCGATTTTTGTCTCGATGACCTCAGGCCTCAGGATATAGTATTTCTCATTCTGTCTCACAGCCACTGCCTCCAGCCCACTGTCGAACTTAAAGGCCTCTGGACCGAGCTTCAGCACTGCAAACAATAAAAGGTTTATGCGTTTAGTACTATTAGTTGAACCTTCGGCTCACATGGTGCTATAAACTATCTAAGAAACTATCTGTCTGAGAGCTTGTTGTGGCTGAGCTGCAATCCATCAATGTCTTTCAGTCAAGTTGTGTAAAAAAGAAACGCCATACTCTGAAAATAACCTGTAGTGTTACCATGGCAACAAAACCATGCTACAAATGAGCCCAAAGATCTAATGCGGTTTTTTATACCCTTCATCTCTCTCTTGTCCCCTCTTATTCACTAACCAGTGCGATCGTAGCTTTCGTGGCAGGTGTGTGCAATCTCTGCTCCGAGCTGCAGATAGTGTCCAGCTTTATCATCTGGCGACCCATCAGCCCCCAAGGCAAACATGCCCCCAGCAAAGCAAGTCAGGTGACCCATCTTACGCTCCAAGTGGCCGTTTTTCCACTCCCCGATGAAAGTAAGGCCACCGTTGGACTTCCGGATGAGGTGGCGCTCGATAGCCTATAGGAAGAGAGAGAGAAAGAGAGGATGAACAGAGGAAAAAAAGATGCAGCACGAAACAACACACAAATTGCCATGGCAACCAGCAGCCCTCACCTCGATGGCATCATCATAGGTCTTGCGTGCCTCTGAGTCTGTTTTATCAGACATTAGCCAGGCCTTCAACAGGTACTCATAGAAACTATCACCCAACCCACCTACTGAGGTGTGATCTGCAGAGCGAGAGAGAGAAACAAGATAAGCCGAGGGGAGGTGAGAATTCGGCTTTTCACAATATTCACTTTTAGTAGATATACACTACTATTTTTAGATATATACACTTACTATTTTCAGTAAGAAAGACATTAATAATTGTATTCAGCAAGGACACATTAAACTGATCCAAAGTTTTGTAGTTTGTCTGTAAACAGCTTTACTATTTCAAACAAATACTGTTCTTTCTATTAAAGAATCCGGAAAGAAAATGCATCACACTTTCCACAAAATATTAAGCAGCACAACAGTTTTAAAAAACGATAATAATAAGAAGAAATGTTTCTTGAGCATAAAATAAGCATATTAGAATGATTTCTGAAGAATCGTGTGACAATGAAGACTGGAGTAATGACCCCAGTCATGGCTTTTAAAATATATCTTATTAAATATTATATTAAATATAAATATTATATTACATATCTTTTAAATTATAATATTTCACAATATTACTGTTTTTACTGTATTTTTGATCACATAAATGCAGCCTTGGTGAGCATAAGAAACTTCTTTCAAAAACATACAAAAATTATACCAACTCCAAACTTTTGAAGGGTAGTGTATGTGATTTACAGTCTTTCTCTTCCAGAAAAACAGAAAAAATAAAATAAAATACTGAGGACTCATCCGGCACTACATAGATTTCTGTCCAATCAAATACTTTCTAGAATGAGAACGCTCCATCCTAAATAACTGCAAATCATGGTTGTGACATTAATTATAAAAAGTCCTGTAGCTTGTTGAATGTTAGTTACTGATGGTAAGGAAAAAAAAAAGAGAGAATAACTCCAATAGTTATTAAGCTTCGAGTAAAGCGAGCTTAATAAATTCTTCAAAATGACAAAACTGGCCTAATTAGATACTTCTAAACTCCTAATTTTGTGAAAATGCAACTGGAGCCAATAAAAGCCTGCTATGATTATATACTGTTATTCTGCTTGCTCAGTTTTGGTTACTCTTTTCAAAGCGCAGTCTTTTAATGTGCCTGAATGCTGCTATAAAAGTGTATTCAGGCTTGACGCCGACCCTCATTACAATAAAAATGCGCAGGTGAGCATGTTTTCGCAGGCGTTTATCCAGCATGGACACACACCAGCACACACCTAATCACTTATAAACACAGCCATAGAGTGTGTTCCACTTTGACCCAGCTAATGACTCTGCAGAGTGAATGTGTGTAAAGTGTGAGTGTTTGACAGGCTGGGAGTCATTTGTGCCACTAATGGATCGTAATGGGAACCTACAACAGAACATGTAAACAATCTGTGTTGACTTGTTGGAGGGATCTGTAGAAATTAAGACAGAAATATTGAAGACATGGACACAAACATAGAATATTAAAAAAAAGAGGCACTAGGTTGGAGCCATGGCTTTGTGGTTAGCGGATATTGAATTATGGTGCTCATGTGGGCAATCAGAGTTCGAGTCTATCTATCTTATGTCTATGTCTGTATCTATCTAGCAGTTTCTTTGTCTCTCTATCTGTTCATCCATCCATCCATGTTATATATCTATATCTGTCTGTCTATACGTCTATATGTCTGTCCATTCATCCATCTAATCGGTCTATATATCCATCCATCCATGTTATATGTTTGCATCTATGACATCTGTATCCATTCACCCAGTCTTTCGATCTATATCTGTCAGCATCCACCCATCAGTTTGCCTGACTATCCATGTCTACATCTGTCTATTTATCTGTTTGTCAGCCTAATATCTGTTTGTTTGTATGCATATCTATGTCTGTCTTTGTCTATCTGTCTGTCTGTCTGGCTATCCATACATTCTCTCTCTCTGAGTGACAAGATTTACATGAAAGCTTGTTAACCCATCTAGAGAACAGACAGGACACCACTCCAAAGGAGAGCAGGAAGCATGATGTGTGCAGGAGGCAGAGGAGTGCATACTGTACACTTGCTGTATATAGTATCATGGACGAGTGAGGGAGGAGCCCAATAGCACTGTCACAGCTCATATCTGCCAAGGTTAGCGAGCTGTTCTGCGTTCAGCCTGCTGAGAGAGAGCTAGCAGGGTAAACGTTTAGGAGATGAACTGCCAAAAGCCATTCTGGAAGGTCTTTAGAGGAGACTGTGGGTGGAGAACAGATGCAGAGGTGATGTTTTACAAGAGAGAGGTGTGAACACGCAAGTGACACTGCTAAAAATTGCCTCTTGCAATAGCTGGTTTAAAAAGTGAGTGAGAGCTAAAGATATCAATGAGGCAGCAACAAGGCAGGAGGCTGAAACACTTTATGAGAGATCCTTTACAGAGACACTGAGACAAAGTAAAAGATGTATTTTATGCTAATGGATGCGAGGGGACTGACCTAGTAGAGGCAAGATGTAGAAGCTGAGATGAATTATTCAACAGAAGGGAAAAATGAGAGGTAGGGAAAAAAACAGAAGAGAAAGTGAGAGAGAGACTGATGTCCAATCACAGACCACTTGTAAGTAACTCTTAATAGTCCGTCCTGCCGCAAGAGGTGGGACATGTTGGAATATGAAGGGAAAAAAAATGTTGTTTACATTTTCTGCAGAAACTGTCAGTGCAAAAGCTGCTGAAACAATGCTGCAGGTAATTCCCAGAGTGTTGCCATGTGGTTGTCAAGGTAGTCTGTGGTTGCTAAGGCACTGCTTACAGTGCCAATTCAAAAGAGCCCAGGTCTCTTGTCCCCAGATATGGCTCAGATGTCTCCTTAAATTGAAAAATGAAAGAAGAAAAAAGAAAAAAATGTGTGTATCATTTATGCCCCAAGGACAAACAAAAGGACAAAAGTGCAGGATGAGTTGGGTTAAGATTTAATTGATTTTTGCCTTTGCACGCAATACCAATAACTATATCTGGATAGAGCTAGAAAAATGTGAAGTATAAGAAGAAACAGTTCAGAGAGAATGTGTGGATCTCGACAGTGTGAGAATCTTGACAGGTTGAAAACAACAGAGAGAGGAAAACAAGCTGCTCAGAGACAGCAAAAGGAATGGAGAAAAAAAGGTACAGGAAAAAAGACGAATGTGTTCGAGCAGCACAGAAATCGTAATAAATATAATAAAATAATACACACTATCAATGATTAAGGTGATGATTAATACATAGATGGTGTGGGCTGATGTGCAGTGAGACATAGGAAAAAAGAAAAGTTGTGGCAGTGGAAAGACTGATCGGGTGGAGGGTGGATCTGAGTAACAATCAAAGATCCAGGCAGGAGATATCTACAGAGAGGCTTGGCCGACAAAAAGTGGACAGGTCGTGGATAGAGAATTACGGGCTGAGGAGGAGATGTGGATCTAAAACCTAAAGGCCCCTGGAGGTGAAGCTGTAGAGAAGTGGAGAGAGAACTTTAAAGGTGTAGTTCACACAAAAATGAATGTTCTGTCATCATTTACTCACCCATCCTACTTGAATGGACACAAAAGGAGATGTTTAGAACAATGTCCAAGCTGCTTGTGATACACGATCCCCATTCACATTAATTGTATAGAAAATAGCAGCTTGAACATTTTTCTGAACTTCTTTGGTGCTCCACACACAAAAGAAAGTCATTTGAAATAAAATGAGGGAGAATAAATGACAAGAGAACATTACTTTTTTTGGAAATGTCCCTTTAAGGGTCCACAGGGCAGATGCAGTGTGGGAGAGGGAATAATACTCTGCTGTAATGGCCTGTCACTCACTCAGAGTTTTCATTTAGAAAATAGATCTCTAGTGCACCTTAATTACATTCTACCCCTTTGGACACACACACACAATCACACTTTTCTGGAACTTAGTCTTTGTGTGTGTGTGTGTGTGTGTGTGAAAGAGAGAGAGATAGAGTATTTGCTCGCAGAGGGTTGATCAGGTTTAGCCTTTATACGCAGGGCACTAATTAAACCTTCATCTCTCTCAGTAATTAAGAGTTGGTTAAAACACAGTGGAGTGTTTTCACTACACATAATTACTAATTACATATAAAGAAAGAAACTTCCTCAAATCCCATCTTTATTAAAGCTCATTGATCAGAGAGGAGATGAGGATAAGCTGCCAATTGTCGTATTTCACATTTAAAGAATAATAAATCAGAGGGATTATGAAAATCATCTGTGTCTATAAACAGGCTTCGCAGAGTGATATTTTGGATCTGAATCTCCTCTTACGATAAGAACACCGAAACAGGGCTCAAAAATAAGAACGGCCCGGAACCAGTGTGAGAGTTTCAGATTGCCAAGTTGTTGCTATATCTTACATTTGTTAATCATATACACTATCTTTCAAGTCTGTGGTTTAATACACCAGTTTCACAATTTGAGTTGAATTACTGAAATAAATGAACTTTTCCACGACATTCTAATTTATTGAGATGCACCTGTATCAGTAATGGATTTCCGAAAATTACTGCTAAATTATAAATTCAATATAATTTATTCAACAAATTATAAATTATTTATTAAAATAAAGCTTAACACTTAACACAAAATGTTGCCATACAGTAAATTGTGAACAAGACTAGGACAACAGAAAAATATATATTGGATACACTTTAAGTCTAGTATATTAGCATACTTGACCTTCACTTGCATGCTCCTGACTCAAAGCCTTTTCCAGACAATACACAGCAAAACTGTCTACATTTGTTGTTTCGGGCCAAATATAAGGCAGCATTTCATGTATCATTCATGGATAAAGTTGTCCCAGAAAAAAAGTTTATAGAAACAAAATTCTATTTTATTCAGTGCTAATAGGAAATTCTCCCATCTACTTATAAAGCATAATTTCACCTAGCAGTTGTGTGTGCAATCTATATTTTTTTTTTTATCTATCATAGCATCAAGTTCATGTTGTGGGTGTCTGTAACCCTCTTTTTTTCATACAGTGTGAGAATTCACAAAACGCCTTTTGTGGAAAGTGAGAGTTGGTTTTGCAGCAGAGAGGATGTTAGTGGGAGGTACTCACGCTGGCCCCAGCGTCCTGTGCGTGGGTTCAGGTAGTTGGGGTAAAGCCCGTTGGGTCTGTCCATCTTAGCCAGCAGTTTCCGTATGTGCATCACCTAAACCAGAACACAAACGGAGTTCACAACAGGACACAAACACAAGGGCCGAACACAGTTACACAGCACTCATACACCCAAGCATACCTTCTGATAGTAGGCAGGGTTTCCAGTCAGATACGTCAGGTGCACAAACTCCATGTGCAGCGTCCCGAACTCAGCCAGAATACTGCTTCCAGCTGAAGCCCAGCCCCAGTTACGCCCCACTCCACTGAAACAGACATAAGGAAACACCCACGACATTTGCGTATAGTATGTTCCTTACTAGCCTAAAGCAAACATCCACCTTTATACATTTGCAGCGTGTAGACAATGAGGAATTACAGCAAGCTCATTTAAGTCAAACTGCTTCATTCCCGCTCCAAACAGATTCACTACCGTCCATCATTCCCATCATTCCTTTGTCAAGTCCAATATTCTATGCTCTATTTGTACTTCTCATTTCCATGCAGAATGTATCCACAGCATTCACTTAGTGTGTGTGTGTGTGTGTAGACCGTGAGAGGCTGCTCTACATGCATGGGGATTAAAAAAACTCCCAAAATGCGGTGGTCTCGTCTGTTCCTGAGCAATTTCATCTAAACACCTAATTAATTCACAAAAGCCGTGTCGGGCTGGATTTGACCCTCCTCCCTCCTCAAACACAAAAACCCTTAATGTACATTCACAATGCACTATGCAGATTAATTGTGCCATTTTCATTTCATTCTAATGAAATTATGTGGAAAGTCGAGTTAAACAGGAAGAAAGCCACAGGGACTTTCATAGATGCACAAAGTCTAACAGCTTTCCATTATGTGGCAGCCCCCATCAGGACAATGAGTGGAGGACAGGCAGCATGGGAAAAAGAGGCAAAGAGAGAGAAAAAAAAATTGAAAGGACAAAGACATGAAAGAGAAGGTGTGTATGGAACAGACCTCTTCAAATTGACCATGGCCCAAGGGATGCCTGTTGGGGTGTTGAAGGCAGGAAGCAGCTTTTCTGCCAGCTGGACAGCCTTCACCTTAAAAACCTAAAAGAGACAGAGACATACAGAGGAGAGAAATAAATTATGAACAACAAGGGAGACAAGGCAAAGCACACAGGTGGACAAAAAGAATCAAGTCAGCTCAAGGGAATAAAAAAAAAAAAAAAAACTGTGGGTGAATCACACAAAAATATGCCAGAGGCTTTTTTTATTTTGATTCAGTGTGAAAAAAACAACAAAAACAATTATAATTACACAATTACATAATGGAAGTGTAGCCTATTCAGGACCATTAAGATTTATTTATTTTTCTTCAAAAATCTAAAATCTAAATATAAAAATTTTCTGCATAATTAAAGTTTAATTATATTCAATAGACAAATACTACAATGACACTTACATACCATAAATTTGAACAAATCTAAATAATTTAATAATATACATGTAATTTACAATAATAATAATAATAATGTGTATTACTGTTCATAAATTACTAATCATAAAAGACGTTTTTAGATAACATAAAATAAAAAAAATTTAAGGTTTCCACAAAATATTATGAAGCAGAAATGTTTTCAGCATTGGTAAGAAATGTTTCTTGTGCACCAAATCCACATATTAGAATGATTTCTGAAGGATCGCTGAAGACTGGCGAAAACGATTTCAAATTGTAATGATATTTCACAATATTACATTTTTACTGTATTTCTAATCACACAAATGCAGCCCTGGTGAGAATAAGAGACTTCGTTCAAAAACAAATATCTTACCAACCCCAAACTTTTGAACAGTAGTGTATATTTACTTACTTTACAATAGTGATACTTTTTCAACGGGGTGATTCAATAAGAATTTGAATCACCCCAATGAGAATTTGTTGGGGAACCGTGAAGATTTTCAATGATATATTTCAAACTGACACAATGTAATAAAATAAATAAATAAATAAAAACCCTATGTTTCTAAAACATGCATAATTTTCTTTACTCAAATCAATATTCTTTTTTCATTTTGAGGTGAAATATGATCCAGACTTGGTCTTCTTGATGGGTTTAGTGAGATTTCACCCCTGCAGCCTGACTAACGCTACAGACTCTGACTGAAGGGATAAAATCTGTCCACAAACTCAGCAGAGAGGAACTGACACACACACACACACACACACACACAGAGTGAGAGAGAGAGAGAACACACATCTGAGACAGAATAAATACCCAATGAACAACACACCTGAATGTGTTTACTCACTAACTGTCCGAATAGAGATGATGCACTGGGGTTTGTTTGGCCTCATCATAAAGTTCAGATTTTGAGCCGAGACAACCTTTTCCAACACCTGCAGTTTAACAACAACTACTGCTGCAGATGGCCACATTCAAAGCAAAGAACCAAACCCCCCAGATTGCTTTAGGTGGTTTGTGTCTGCAATAATAATATAAGCTACTTTGGATAAAAGTATCTCTTGAATACTCAAGTCCATTTAGACACTTTATGAACATATCAGCATAGACACAGAAAGACCGACTTCACCTTTCCAACAGTGCAGATTATTAGAGGAGTCAATGTCAAATGTGCACCAATCAATTTTTTATACAGCAGTACTGTGTTATCATAATTTCGGCGAGACTGTCTGACTACAACTCTGCCATCCCACAAAGTGCTTTTGAGCAAAAATGCCTTGAAAATATCTTTCGCTGATGACTCACAGCCAGACTCCTCTAAACAGGGTAAGATCTGTTGCTCATGTCAGAGCGGGAGCGGTGCGGTTGATCGTGTTTTTAGGACGGAAGATTAAATGAAGCCGTAGCAGGGAAAAGGCCTCTGGTTCTTAGACAAAAAAAAAAAGAAAATTTTCACCTGAGATTAGAAGCCAATTTACAATTTACAGTAAAAAGAAAACATGCTAAATAAAACCATTTTGGGGAACAAAGGAAAAAAAGGCAGATGGGTCATTCCGTGCCAACTCAACCAAAGGATATTAAAATATCTTGAATACTTTTAGTTACAGGCATGACAACTTTAGAAAAACAATATTTATGGCACTCAGACAGGTATGTTCTATGCCAGAGGTGGCCAAATGTTTTCCTACGAAAGGCCAAAAATCAAACTTGACTGAGGGCCATGGGCCGAAAATAAACACTGCATTATACCAATCTGTATTCAATTAAAATTAAAGTTTTCATGGTTCCCATCATTTATGAGTTCATAATATTTAAAAAATGAATTAATAAAATGAAAACATTACTCTGTAATCTTCTTAACTAATGCAGTTTTATTTTCAAAGTTTGATAGTTCAATTAAACTTATGGTACAATGAAAACATAGAAACACTCTCATTTATAGTACAATAGAGTTCAATACCCAATACAGCTATTCAAGATAAAAGCAACACAGCCATATGCTTGCAAAATCAGTGACCTCTAATGAGAGACATGAAGCCGGTCCTTATTTTTCAAATGTTTTCCAAATTGGGCTGTAGCTGACTTACTGACAAGGTCAGGATATTATGTAGGTGAGAGTCAGTTAATTTGCTTCTCATTTTACACTTGTTCAGGTTTGTCAGACTGAAAGTCTTCTCACAGTGGTAGGTACTGGCAAACAGAGACAATATCACTTGTGCTTGTTTGCACAGGAATTTCATCAGGAAATGTCGTTAAATTTTGATGGCAGTAGGTGGCGGCAAGTAACTATCTTTATGAGTAGTCATCATTAAACCAGTCTGTGTCGTTGAAATTAATTTAACTTTGAGTGGCACTTTATAAGGCTCAATAGACGATCAAAGTGTCACCTGGGTAACGCTGAAGCTGATTTCACTGAATAGAGATTGGGAAATCCCCTTAAATGTTGAAAGGATACTACGGCAAAGATAGATTTCATCACAAACTGTCACGAATATATGACTTGACCTGAAGGACAGACGCAGGTTCGCACACGCTCAGGTCGCCTGTCTCAGTCTGCTCTGTCTGTGTGTGTGTGTGTGTGTGTGTGTGTGGAGGAGCTGCCTGAGCCCTGCCTCAGACACAGATAGAGAGCAGACCAGATGTCAGAGGCAGTGGGATAGCTAATATATTTTTGAAATTCTTTTTTTAATGTAAACAAACATGCATGTAAACACAATGGGCAATATTGCATCACCAAAACTTATCGCGGTCATGTCCATATTTCATAATTCAATATAGTAATTATCACGACAGGCCTAGCATCAACGGCATTTTGTCCCGTCTTCTCGTATATGGCATGGTGGGCCAAATTAAAGGTCACCACGGGCCATCTTTGGGGCCTAGGGCAGGGCAATTTTTCAGATTTTATCGATTAATTCGAATGTAATGTTTTGCCACGATTAGATTTTTTAGAAATCGAGGAATCGCGATTTTGAATAGAAATATTACCAAACGTCAGAATTAGACACTTTGACAATATGCCAATGATAACAGTAAAGAGAAAAGAACGATCCAACCGCATGTCGGCGCACATGATTAACCGCTCACGTGTGACGCGCTCATATCGTGAGGCACATTTCACACAGAATGCGCTTTTGTGTTGACAAAGATGCGACGCGGGCAGTGGAATAGGTAAAACATGCAAGAAGATGGGAGTGAACTTTTTTTAACTTGAGCGCCGTGTTTTTATAATGCCGTTTCATGCACGAGTTGCTTCAAGAGACGAGAGCGCAACAGTCAAAAGCGTCCATGTTTACATAGAAAAAACAATGGAAAAGCAGCACAATCGAATAAAAACCTGTAAAGAACTACTACTGTATGTCCCTATTTCATGTTTGTATCATTGGTGACAGGCTGAAAGCTGCTGTTCATTGTTTTCACAGAACATTTATTGTTAATAGTCTACTGGTGTTATACCTTCAGAAGTCAGAAAGAGCTTTATTACCAAGTATGTTTACACAGACAAGGAATTTGACTTAGTGACAGGAGCTTCCAGTGCAGAAGAAAGTATGTCGACATAGTGCAAACTAGTTCAGCAGACATGGGAATTACACAGTAGAGATGGAGTATAACACTTATATAAGAAAAATGTTTTTTTTTATAATGCACTATATACAGAAGTAGAAATATAGAGAAATGTAACTTTAAATGAATGTACAGATATATTTACAAGTGTGCAGTTTACAAATGTAAAATTTTTGGATTCTATGTAGGCTATAAAGTCAGTCATTTTGAATTTGAATTACATTGTTGAGATTTTTTTGAAGCATTTTCATTGTAGCCTATTTCTAAACGTATAACATGTATAAGACAAGTTTGTACAGGATGTAGTTGTAGTTCATGCATCTTTTCTGCAAAGATATTTAACAAGTGATTTGTTTAACATTTACATCATGTTAACAACATGTGTGGTGCACTTGGAATAGACTTTTCTTTAACTAGAGGGTTAATAAAGAAAAAGTTATTTGAATCATGTTGTAGTTAAATTTTTAAAGTTAACTAGTTCAAAATCGCAAAAAAAAAATCGAGAATCGGTCAAACATTCTGAATAAATTGAAATTTTATTTTTATTTTTATATGCGGGCCCTAGTTTGGGCATCTCTGTTCAATGCAATTTTAGTTGATCGAAAAAAATTTGATACATTTCTAGTTTTAAAATTATTTATTCTTTAGATATTCCTCTTTAAAAGAAAAAATTATAAGCTGAATGCAAAGGGACCCACATTTGGTTTTTGACCACATGTGAACAATTTACTAATTTAACAAATGTGAACATACATTTTAAATGTAATGCATTCCCGTGATGGCAAGTATCTTTCAGCAGTATCTATCACATGATCCTTTAGAAATCATTCTTATTCAGCAACATTTCTTATTTTCATCAATGTTAAAAACAGCTGTGCTGCTTAATATTTTTGAGGAAATCATGCTACATTTTCTCAGGATTCTTGAATGAATAGGAAGTTCAAAAGAATATCATTTATTTGAAATAGAAATCTTTTGTGATATACATTTCTTTACTGTTTAATCAATTTAATGTTTTCTTGCTGAACAAAAGTACTCATTTATTTTAATAAAAAACAATGTATATACATACAGTTAACT